ATACATTCATTGCTATATTAAAATATTTAATTTAATTTAATTTGTTACACTTACAATTGAGAATATAAGCTGAATTAAGTGCTTTATAGCACGATCACGAACTTCATCATCTTGATCGAGTGTTGTTCGTTGTAAAAGTACCAAAATATTTGGTAATAAATCTTCTGAAGCTGCACCAAATTTAGCTAATGCACTTACAGCAGCTACACCATTAATTAATTAGAAATAAATAAATACAAAAAAAAAGAAAAGTGTTACCAGCTCGAACAGGTGCATTTTCAAGAATAACACGATTACAAATATAACGAATATATTTTGCTGGTGTTGTTGTACGTGGTCCTTCACGACCCAATAAATGAATAATACGAGTAGCTAATGATGTATGTTCACAATCTTCGATAAATTCACATAAATGAGCCAAATATTTTAAATAAAATTCATATACAAAAAGAAATTAAAATCCGATTATTTAGATTTTTACCTGCTTCTTTTGCTTCAGGATTTTCTTCAACAATTGAAATAATTGTATTAACAATTGTCTTTTTATATTCATAACCACCTTCTTCACGTAACATATTTGAAAGAAATGTCATTAATACAGTATGTTTACGTGGAAATTTTTGACATAATGATCTTTGAAATATTCAATTTAATTATAAGAAAAAAAATTTTTTTTTTTTGTGATTATATCTTAGTTAATTGCATCAACAACAACTGTTTTAAATTGATCTGATATTTCAGATAAAAATGATGAGATTTGTTTCATTAATCGATCAACACTTGCTTCATTACCCGTCTACAAAAAAGAAAAACAAATTAAATTATTTAATTAAAATAAAAATACTTTAAGAAGAGTTGTTATAGCTAATGTTGCAATTGATCGATTTGAATCAGTAATTAATGTTTCAAGATCAACATTACAAGCTGTTACAGCTGCTGGTTATTGAATAGCAACCTTTAAATTTCAAGAGAATTCTATATTTTTGTTATGTAAAATGTATAAAACAAACTTTATTACGTGTTCGAACAGCTGCATAACGTAAAACAGGTTTAGATGATGAAATAAATAATTGAAGAACATTAACAGCTGAACTAAGTTCTTTTGGTGTAACACATTTAAGTGATACAATTGTTGATGCAGCTTCACAAATAACCATTTCATTTTTATGACGTAAACATGAATCAATAAAATCA